ATACATACATACATACATACACACACACATACATACATGCATACATACATACATACATACATACATGCATGCATACATACGTAAACATGTGCATGCACGCATACATGCACGCATGCGTACATGCATACATGCATACGTGCATACATACATACGTACATGCATGCATGCATGCATGCATGCATGCATGTATACATACATGCATCCATACATGTGTGCATACGTGCATCTATACATGCGTGTACACACACACACACACACGTGTAGGTGCATAATTCAATTCAAAACCAACCAGGCCGAAGAGGGCAACCTCCGAAGACGCACCTGCAGGAAGCATGTGGGCAGTGAGGACAACGTCACGCGCACCACCACTTCCGACTCGAGGTAGGGTGCCTGTTGGGCTGCGTTGAGAGTCTAGGATGCAGGATTTACTGTTCGAGGGCTTGCAAACTTTCAGCTTTAGAGCTGATTTAGATTTAGCTTGGAGTCAAGGGCTTTAGTATTACGGATAGCTCATCCTTACAGGGCTGGTGACTCAAAGTCCGATCTATAGCAAGACGCCTCATGTAGTGGATAGTGGTTCAATATGCCAGGGGCTCATGGTTGGCTGCATCAACGAAGGCATGACTTAAGGATACTCAAAGTAAAAAATTTTGCCACATTTTCGGAGTTGTAAAGTTGTCGAGCTAATTAAGAACTGCTTCGGCTTCTTCCGTCTGAAGAGAGTGCACAATGCCCAAAAGACCTTCGACACCTACATCCGGCCGACTTCTTTCAGTCCACCCCGAGACGGTCACAGTAGTCGTGAAGCTTTGGGATGCCGGTAATCCAAGGAATCCGCTTAGGGGTTTAGGGGGTTTAGGGTTTAGGGTTTAGGGATCCGTATGTACATCCTCTTCATCCCAAGCTAGTGCACCAAAGTCCGGGCGTTTCTTGAAAGGAACACATACTCAATATCCTCCACAAGTTTCCATGGCTTTCCCCCAACTCCACTCCCTAAACCCTAAACCCTAAACCCTAAACTGCAGCGAGGTGCTCCCGGGTGCTGCTTGCGGAGCTTCTCGTTCTGGACTATTCCTCTTCCCACACAGTCCTGCAGGGGAAGATGCAATGATACCATAAACCCTAAACCCTACGCCCTAAACCCTAAACCCTAAACCCTACTCTCTAAACCCTAAACAATGCTACTCAGATCACACTGAGAGATACTTCTCCTTATCCTTGATACCACTACTGATTTCAACTGTTGTCAACACCTGCTCCTGGTCGTGCTCCGGCTGTTTTTCGAGAATATGGGTTGGGGTACAGACCGGTATAAGTACTACAAACCTATAGCGATCCTTGAGGAATACTATTTGAAACATGCGGTCCCCCATGTTACAACAACATCAGCTAAGGGCTTGCCAAAGTCTGGTCCTACACAGGCTGAATACACAAACTTTCGTGCTGGTGACGGCATGCGGGAAGAACGGATGTAATTGACAGGGAGCGCATGCCGGAACTCCGGAATCGAACTTTGGTGAACCCATCTGAAGCCAACGTGGTCATTTGTCTGGTCTCGATCGCTTGAGTGTTGGCTCGGACGGTCCGGAAAACATAGGCCAGTTCGAAAGTGGATTCAGAGCCTAGCAGGAAACACGGCGGCCTATGGCGGGTGCTCTTCTGATCAACTCTGGGACCTAGGGCTGTGGGACGGCAGACACAGGGAGACATTCGGCCGCATAGTCCTTCAAGCCAGCCTTCGGATTTATAGGTTTTAGTGACTTATACAAGTCATGACGCGTATCCTATTCCCATGCCCTAATCGGCCCTAATCACCCTAATCGCTACGAATGCTGTGGAAAAGGGTGTCCAGGCTGGAGCTCACCAAACCCGAAAAGCTGAAGTATGAAGTCCTTGAAGACTTCTGGCAGCAATGGGTGGGAGGCGGGGAAGTCCACGGGAAGGTCGTGCATCGCCTCGAAGGAATGAATTTCTTTCACACGCATCTTGGAACTTGCAACGACTCGCATACCCCACACGTAGGTGACCTCCACTAGGCACCCCGCAAACTTCAAGGCCCCAATGTCAACTACACTCTGATGGGAAACCTCAACAGCAAACCATAACTAATTCAGCAGGCCCCTGAAAGGTTTTTGACGGGAGCTTGCAGCTCAAGGCCTGGTCTTCAAACTGTCGCTTTCCATAATTATGGGGGATACAGTAGCAGTTTACGGTGTTAGGATTGACCATTAAAAAAACACACAACACCATGCCGCAACAAGAAAGCACCCTGCCACCACACACACCACACGACAGAAAATAAACTGTTACAAGGCCGACAAGGAAGAACTACTGGCAATGATAGCAATGCCCGAAAATCAGAAGCGCAACATCTATGACACTTGCACGTACCAGGTAGCAGATGCAAAAGTGACAAGGCAGTACTGGTGCTGGACATCAAAAATCTTACTGTACGGGTATATCATTAAATAAGCAGAACCCCTCAAAGTCCCAATGGCAGGAACCGCTGTCTCAGGGTTACAACATTCATGCTAACACCCTATAAAATCTAAACACAGAGCCGGAGCTGCGCTCCAACGCCTTCATATCTATGCCTCTAAACCCTCAAAGCCCTTTAAACAAACGACCCTCGCACCTTCCGCTCGCCGCAGGTGAAGACGGCCCGGAAGCCCGTGAGGTCCGATGACCGCACACCTTCATCCGTTCGAGCATCCAAGGTCCTGCACGAGTGGTACTCTCGCCTCTGGATTTCTGTTGTTGTTGTTGTTGCACTCGTAGTTGTAGTTCTGGTGTTCGTGGTGGCGCGGTGGTGGTGGTGGTGGTGGTGGCGGTCGCAGTAGTAGTAGTAGTAGTAGTAGTAGTAGTAGTAGTAGTAGTAGGCAGCAACAGTAGTAGCAGTAGTAGAAGTACTGCTACTGCTACTACTATGCTCGGCCCCAGACAGGCGAGGTATACGGTACAC